ACTTAACTGTAGTTGCACATAAACGGGGCTTTATTTTCGAATTATCTCAAAACACTTAATAGGTTTAAAATTAAGCCTATTTGAAACCAGTTTCTTCAAAGTACCTTTGAACTTGATATGAACTTTTGTTTTATTAATAAAATCATTATAAAAAAAAATTATGACAATAATAGGTTTCAGATTAAATGGAATCACTAATTGGGGATATAACTACTATACAATTAATTATGAACCCCATCTCATATTGTTTACTGATAATAATTCCTTTAACATTCATAACTAAGCAGAGATAATATACAAACAATTACCCCTGACAATTATTAGCTACTACCAGATAATGAAAGTTTATAATTATAAATAAATGTGATATACGAAGCATACAATAATATTAACAACATATAAAATGACAAATTATTATACACAGGAAATAAAATTAGATTGATGACAAAAATACTAAAAGTAGATCGGTGGTCAAAATTAATAAAAAATATTTGATTGTATAAAAATATAAATCAGAATACGGACCCTCTTCCGAGTTATCACAGTCATTTTGATTATCACAAGAAGTTTTTGATATACAAAACTTTTACTCATGAAGTGAAAAAATAAAATTTATTAATGAATAACTATGGCAAGGCGATGTCTCTGGAAGGATGAAACTCTGCTGTTACGGACATGACAGGAATATTATTTGGCACTAGAGTGTTTGCTAAGTATTGTGTCATAGAACAACGGATTGCAAAGTGAAGTGCATACATAGAACCACAGGATAACATGCTACTATCAGAAACAGATCATATCCTTTTTCTTTGTCTCAGCTTTTGTCCTCAGTGGCTTTATACTGGTCCTCACTTTCAGTTTTGTTTGTATCCTCATTTTCAGTTTTGTTTGTGGCCTCACTTTCAATTTTGTTTGTGTCCTCACTTTCAGTTGTGTTTGTGTTCTCACTTTCAGTTTTGTTTGTGTTCTCACTTTCAGTTTTGTTTGTGGCCTCACTTTCAGTTTTGTTTGTGTCCTCACTTTCAGTTTTGTTTGTGGCCTCACTTTCAGTTTTGTTTGTGTCCTCACTTTCAGTTTTCTCTGTTTCCTCACTTTCTGTTTTACTGTCTGCATTGATGTCCTCATGAACTTCTCCCTGGTCTTCATTTCTTTCTTTACTTGTGTCCTAATTTATTTTATTATTGTCCACATTATCCTCATTGATTTCATTCTGATTTTCACTTTCTGTTTTGTCCTCACTTTCATTTTTATTCACATCTACATCATGATCCTCAGGGACACTATTCTTACTTTCACTTTCTGTATTGTACTCAATTCCAGATTTATTTTCATTGACAATATTCTGGTCCTCAGCCTTATTTGTCTCCTCAGTCACTCCCTCACCTTGTCTACTTGCTGTAGCAGGATCCTCAATCTCCTCTTTCTTGTTTTTATTCTCAGTCTCTTCATTCTCGTTTATTCCCCCACCCTCTATACTCATCACCTCCTCTTTAATCCCCTCCTCCCTCCCCTGTTCCCTTCTTTCCCCCAGGATTCCTCCCCTCTGTCCCCCTTAGAGTCCTCCCCTCTGTCCCGTTTGGATTCCTCCCCTCTGTCCACCTTTGATACGTCCCCTTCCTCCCTCTTGGAGGCCTTCCCATCAACAATATTTAGGCTCTGTCTCTGTAAGTTAGAGTTTTTTTCTACATCCAGTCCATGTAAATGTATGTAATTCTCCAAAACTATTGTAAACATTGCTAAACGTTATTTATTCTCGAGAACTCTTGTAATGTTTCTGAAATGTAAACAAACACTCTAATTTTCCTCGTCCTGAATTTCTAGTTTTGTTTCTTTATTGTTGATCAGGTATCGACAGCCTGTTTCCCCCCAAATCTCGAATAGCGTGGTGTGAACACTGGAGTCTGTCCCAGAATTCTCCTCAGTTCCTGTCTCCACAGCAAACACGTAATAGCGAACTGAAAAAGAATTGAATTATTGAGCAGCACATTTAAATGTAAATTAAGTTTGTATGCCTAGAGTTTCAGTTGGCTTATTTGTCTTGTTTTTTCTTTCATATAATGAACATAATTTTAGTATTCTATTTCATTTAAATATTCATCATCCTTTTTGAATGTCAAAAAAACAAAAAAAAAACATGTACGATATGAAATGAACTGTGCAATTCAATCAACTATCAGTAAGGTAATATGTACGGAAGCGTATTCGTGCCACTTTGACACTTCACTTTTTTTAATTTCTACACTTTAATCTGTAAATTTTACACTTTAAAGTGTAAATTTTACACTTTAATCTGTAAATTTTACACTTTAATCTGTAAATTTTACACTTTAAAGTGTAAAATTTACACTTTAATCTGTAAATTTTACACTTTAAAGTGTAAAATTTACACTTTAATCTGTAAATTTTACACTTTAATCTGTAAATTTTACACTTTAATCTGTAAATTTTACACTTTAATCTGTAAATTTTACACTTTAATCTGTAAATTTTTCACTTTAATCTGTAAATTTTACATTTAAATCTGTAAATTGTACACTTTAAAGTGTAAATTTTACTCTTTAATCTGTAAATTTTACATTTTAATCTGTAAATTTTACACTTTAATCTGTAAATTTTACACTTTAATCTGTAAAATTTACACTTTATTTGTTTATTCAAATAAGCATATTCATACATCCTTAGTAACACATTTTACAGCCAATAGACCGTTAATATTGCAAGATAATATTTAATTTTGATTTTCTATTTTACAATAAATGCAAATGATAAGCAAAGAGCAAGAGCCATCTTATGCATAAAATGGCCCTGTACTTATATCAATTAATTAACTATCACCCTCTTTCCCATTTCATATATCAAAAGAAAGTAGACACTTGGAGCTCTCATTTCCTATAATGAATTTCGTTTTTGAGAATCCAGATATTGGAAAACAGGTTTGAGAAATTGCAATGTTTTTGAAATTTGCAGAAAACATGCGTATTTGTCTACCTTCAGCAAAGAATTAAAATATGAGCACAGCCCACGATCCAAAAAATAAAACATGTTTTTTGATCTTCAGAAACAGAGCTTTCATTATGCATATGCATATTTTGGATCAGAGGTTGTGCTCTATATGAAATATTGAAAAAAAGCTTTAACTTTTGGTCATTTTCAAAGGAATTTGCAGGATATAGGGAAAATGGCGCATTTTATGACGTCATAATGCATTGACTACATGGAAAATTACGTCACAATTGATAGATACGTGTTCACCAACACTCCAAGTGATAAATACTGCATTTGCAACCTAAACTGATAAGTTTTGATTTTTCAGAAATTCTCAGGGCCAAATATGGCCCAACATGGCTCTACCTCTTAGTATTACTGATACAAGTAAGACTTCTCTTAGAATATAATTAAAGAGCATATCAAACATATGCAAACATGTACATGTACATGTTCTAAATGAATGTGATATTGATATCAAAGTATGTTTATATTATGTTAATAATTTGGAACAGTAATAAATTTTATATATTTTGATTCAATGACTTTTCTTTGATGCTACGTTAAAAAAAATGACCGTAATTTTCATAATGACCATAGAACCATATACTTGTTATATCAAACTTAACTGCAAATAAAAAAAATCTTTGAGATATTTATTTTTACTGTTAATCACACTGTTCATTCGATCATATACTAATAAACATGTACGAGTACATGTAAAATAAAAATATGCAAACGATTGTAAACATCACAGTTTAATACTTTTTTCATGTTTCAGAGGTAATACATCACATATCGACCGTTTGATCATAAGTGATAACTGTTTAGGTTGTTTAAAATAAAGTGTAAATTTTACACTTTAAAGTGTAAAATTTACAGATTAAAGTGTAAAATTTACAGATTAAAATGTAAAATTTACAGATTAAAGTGTAAAATTTGCACTTTAAAGTGTACAATTTACAGATTAAAGTGTAAATTTTACAGATTAAGGTGTAAATTTTACAGATTAAAATGTAAATTTCACAGATTAAAGTGTAAAATTTACAGATTAAAGTGTAAATTTTACAGATTAAAGTGTAAATTTTACAGATTAAAGTGTAAAAATTACAGATTAAAGTGTAAAATTTACACTTTAAAGTGTAAATTTTACAGATTAAAGTGTAAAATTTACAGATTAAAGTGTAAATTTTACAGATTAAAGTGTAAATTTTACAGATAAAAGTGTAAAATTTACAGATCAAAGTGTAAATTTTACACTTTAAAGTGTAAATTTTACACTTTAAAGTGTAAATTTTTTAAAGTGTAAAATTTACACTTTAAAGTGTAAAATTTACACTTTAAAGTGTAAATTTTACAGATTAAAGTGTAAATTTTACAGATTAAAGTGTAAAATTTACAGATTAAAGTGTAAATTTTACAGATTAAAGTGTAAAATTTACAGATTAAAGTGTAAATTTTACAGATTAAAGTGTAAAATTTACAGATTAAAGTGTACAAATTAAAAAAAAGTGAAGTGTGCAAGTGGCATTAATACGCTTCCGTAAATATGGCAATATTTTATACTGACTGCTTTAAAAGTGATAAGAAAGAAATTTCTAGGAATTAACCCATGAAGAAATAAATAATATATGAAACTAAGCGTAGATGAAATATATTGAGATAACGGACAGTATTCAAGCTCTACATACCACTAAACAATACAAAATAGGAACAGAAAAAAACATGGACCTCTAAAACATCAGAGATGTGATCAGGTACCATGAAGGAGTGAATATCCCTTCCTTACCGATATATAAGCTGCATAAGTGGAAGTTGACGACAGAGAAGTTACTCATCACGTTTATCATAAAGCTTTGTTGTAAGATTACCATTAACGTCATTACCGGTATAAATGTTATATATAAAAATACGAGTAAAGTAGACTAGTGAATTTCTCTGCACTTACTATAGCATCAAAAAATTTACATCTATTCCCGCAGATTTTTTTGCATTTCCTTGTAAAAAAAATAATTATGGAATCTAGTGGAACTACACAAATGTAAGTTTTCTTGAAAGCAATATAGATTACATGTAATGTTAAAATGTCTGAATCAGTATATTTTGTTGACAACTGTATATAGCATAAAATAACACATGGTGCAAAACAATCTTACGTTTAGTTTCCTTCATTTTTCAAAGATTCAAAATATACATGTATCATACATAATATAAAACTTTTTTTTATTTTAAAAGAGAATATACACTAAACCTTTAATTCAAAGGAACTTGGACATAGATTTGATGTTAACATTTTCTGTATTAATTCAAGACTTAAAGGTACTTGGACACAGATTTGAAGTTATTATTTTCTCTATAATATTACGACATATATATTTTGATAGCTTTTCACACAAAAATTATTTTAAAACATTATTTCATACAAAAGATTTTAAATTTAAATAGTTTGATTGACACATCCTTGCACTTTCACAAATTAATTTTATTCTTAATCCTTTAAAAGGAAAAGTGGCAATGTCATTGTGTTTAAATGAAAAATTATAATACTATAATCCACAAAAAGTAAGCAGACTGTGACGATTGAACGCACCCAGTGAATTATAAACATCAACAATAACAGAACTCGAGCCCTGTTTACAAAAAACTATGTACATAACACAAGTGTGCTCGATTTGCTATAAATGAACGCAACTCTTAGTTCGGAATGACGATACTTGTGAAGGAGTTTTGCTTTCTAACATTTCTACTCTGAATAAAATTATTTTTCTGGATAAAAGTTTTAATATTTCTCATGAATACACAACAAGATTGCCACTTTTCCTAAGGATTAAGAATCAGGTTAAAATTTGTGAAAGTACAAGGATGTGTCAATCGAACCCGCCTAAAAATTTAAAGTTTAAATAACTTTTAAATGAAATAAGATTTTTATTTAATTTTTGTGTGAAATGCTTTTAAAATATATAAGTCGTAATATTAGAGAGAAAATATTGATTTCAAATCTGTGTCCAAGTTCCCTTTAAATGTTGCCATAGCATTTCATACAAAAATATATACATTTTTTTACTGGAAGTTATTGAAACCTCGGATTATTATACTTTTAGAAAATTTAATTTTCACTTAATACATAAGAAAAGTAGCAATTTTGTAGTGTATTGATGAAAAATATAAAAACTATAATCCAGAAAATTCAGTGTTGAAATGTGCGAAAAACAAAAATTCATTTCCTAGTGTCAATGTTGTGGTCAGAGTTTTAACAAAATGGGTACGTACATGAAGCGTACAAAATTTTCATAAACACATGATTTCTATCACCAATTGCCTTTACTTATGCAGCAATATACCTTCTTTACCAGCACATGGAGTGTATATATCTCATTTGATTCGATACGCAAGAGCATGCTCCATGTATGAACAATTTCTTAAACGAGGTTATTTATTGACCAATAAGATGATAAAACAAAAAATATCAGCAGTCTCGTTTAAGTGCAGTGGTCGATACAATGACCTTATAAGCAAAAACAAATTATCATTGAGTCAAATGCTGACTGACGTTTTTTTCATACTAATTGTTAGTCCATTAGGAGCACGCGGAGAATGTGGCCTGTCAGCAGGGGATGCTCACTCCTCCAAGGCACCTGATCCCACCTTTGATGTTTCGGAGGTCCGTGTTTGCTCAGCTCCGATTTTGTATTGTTTTATGGACTTTGAGATTGAATATTGTTCGTTATCTGCATATCCTTATTTTTTTTAATCCTTTTTAATATAGGCAACAAAATTGATACTTTTTTAAAGTATGAAGGGTGAAGTTTAAATTGTAAAGGTGCAAGGTTGTGCCTATCAAATGCCTCTAAAAAATTCAAAGAATCATTAACTTCCAGAAAAAATAAGATTTTTATGACATTTTCTTATGAAATTTTATAGCAACAAAGTTACGAAAGTAAATTAGAATGGTGATAATTACGTAATTCTCAAATTATGCATGTGGATGAAAATTCTCTTTAATCCTTACCAGTAAGAAAGCCATACAGCACATATCAGAGACAGTGTTTGTGGGACTGTGTCGTAAAGTGGGGACCTCACAGGTGGTGGCCATAAAGAGAGATGTGGTTGACATTTGGCAGAAAGTGAAAATTCAGGTGAAAAGTTATGACTACATTGTGATGTTAAGTGGAAGTTACAGAGAAGGATTCAGACTGAAAGAATCAGATATAGACTATATGTGTTGGCCAAATAATCACCGTGTGATCTGGGACTTATCTCAGTCTCAGTATTACAACACACAGACACAAACACTGATCCTTTGTGACTGTTCTGATAGTCCACCAGGATTTACTTTGGTATATTTACTGTCACGAAGCATGGACAGGGGAATCCTGGAGGCGTGCATTAGAGTGAAGAACAGTTATTATATATCTAGTTCTAAATACAGACAGAAGATATGTTCCTTATCATCAGGTAAAGAGACTGAACATGGGCCCTGTGTCAGTGGAACAATTGAAACAATGGAATATGATGAAGCCCACTGTCTTGCTTGTGACTTTTGGCCTCCATCTGCCTCCTCATGGATAGAAAGATGTCACTCATGGCCCCAGCCTCATATTGTTGATGATATAGTAAACAATGGTTGCCACTTTGTAGCAATTGGACATAAACTATGACGTCATGAAGATCATGAATAGAGAATTTCTTTCTCTCTGGCAGAACAAAAACTAGTGTATGCAATGAACCACTGTCAATTCTTAACTTATTGCTTACTTAAATTGTTCTTAACAGAAATAATTAACAATGGACTAGATGATGATGATAAATTACTGTGTTCCTATCACATGAAGACAGTAGTTTTCTGGGTAATTCAACAAAATACTTTACCTCATTGGCGTCCACTAAATCTCCTGGGGTGTTTCTGGGCCTGTTTTAAACTTGTCCTTAAGTGGGTGTATGAGGGGGTCTGTCCTAACTATTTCATTCCAGATAACAACATGTTTCTAAGTTAAATTCATGGTTACAAACAACGTCAATTGTTTATTCCTACTACAAATTCCCTCCATTAGGTCTTATATTATAAATGTCCTTCATAACCCTAAAGTCTCCATCTGTACAGATGAGCATTCTCTGATTTCTGAGGCTGAGTTTGATGAAACCCTATATAATGAAATACACTGCTTTGATGCATTATGCAAATCTGACATTCAAACTTGTATGAGATATCTACATACAATGGAACAGATGATAGGTTCACCTCTCCTGACACAGTATCAAGTCATTATGCTACGGATACTTACAGCTTCTCTCCTTCAAGAAAGTGCTTTATATTACACATGGAAACTTTCACACGTAAAAACAAACTGAAATATAGAGCTGATAAAATCTCCTGTCAAATGCTGAAAGTAGCGGCCAAGTTTGGTTTCATTACTGACATGATGTTCATAGCTATGTATTATTTAAAGAAACTAAGATACAGGGATGCTTTATCTATTATAGAGATGATCAAGGGCAAGTTAGCACAGCCATATTTGATGTATGAGTCAAAAGTAGATACAAAGATGTACACTGAGGCTGTAGGGGGACTGTCTTGGTGTACAAAGATGAGGAAAGCTGTGGCATGGAATATCCGACTATATAGTGGAATCCATTACATCAGTGAATTAGTATCAGAACAACAGTCTGCTCTTCGGAACAAGGATTCTATATTATACATCCCATCCTTTATACTGTTATACATGCTGGAGATCTTGTGCTACAGACATGTAGACACAATGAGAGTACAAACAGCTCTAGATGATCTACAGACCCTAGTTCACTATGATCAGGGACACCTTATACCTTTACGTCACAGGAACATATCATGGCAGATTCTGGGGATCTGTCAACAGTTGACGGGGAACCACCAGACTGCCCTATACTAAAACCAACAATCTATAATAAAAGGCCCGTACCAAACATGCAAACAGTTTACGTTTAATGCATGTCGGGCAAGACATTTTCTTATCCCATTGTATTGGAAAATATGGCGTTTTATATATACTTATACCGTTTAGGCAAATGTTCAATTCATAAAGAAGAATTTTAAGTGGTGCGTTAGCAATTTTGTCTAGTGTATTAGTCTATTTTTATTTTGTCAAAATTGTTTTACAGTATTTAAAGGAGGAAGGTGTAAAATTAAATAATAAATATACAAAGAATGGAATTTGAGTTGTTATTTAATGCAAATAGTAGAGTACCTAAAACTGATCTTGGAAGACCCATCCGCCTCATCGGACGCGTGAATTCTTGTAAATTTGGTAGGAAGAGTCATATTTGAAGGTGAAGATACCCTTTCTGTCATGTTTTTGATAGAGAGTGACTGCAACATTTATGTATCCAACAATGAGAAGCTGATGAACGCAGATGTGGTGCTAGTGGCGTACGGAGATAGTGATTTCTCCCATGAACTCTTTTTGAAGAAGATTTTTTTTAATCGATCTTCTTTGTTAGGCTGGAAACAATGTCTCTCTGGCGGTGCCTCTAATCTGACTTCTCCATAATTACCAATGTTTAATTGAAGTCTTTAATAATATCAACGGGAATAAGAAAGTGGAAGTTTCTGAGACGTTTTTTCCTGCATGGACAGGTAGTGTGGTGTCTTCTTTGCTCTCCGTGTAAACAAAGATGGCAAGAATAATGAAACCTAATTGGCTTTAGGTATTGTATGACCTTTTTGCGTTTGTTTAATGCAGATGCAAGACAAATAATGAAACAATGCTAATTGACGTTCTGCTGATTGGCACGTTACCCCTAGATTGGAAATTTATAAAGATACTCCATATCTTAATACAAAATAAATAAATTTGTTTTCCATGTAATGTGAATTTATAATTGTTCTAAAGCTTGATTATATTTCAATATTACTAACATTGATATTAAAAACTGCTTCCAAAGAGTGTGGAGGTATTTTATATGAGAATAGCTATATGTACGGTTAACGCTACTATCTAGCGATAACCTATATGATACTGTATACTGTGTTCTCTTACATTCCACGACCTGTGGGTACAGGTGGACATTGTTGACCCAAGTGTCTACGGTCGGAAAATTATAGAATTAGCTTAAATATATATGATTTGTGTGTATGAATGTGGTTAATCATGATAAAAAAAATAGAAGGAGCCAATCTGGAAATATGACTGGTTCATTTGAACGTTTTTTTAATAGGGAAAGCCTCAAAATGACTGATTTCATGTGTTTTCCCCTTTAGACATTTAAGTGCTTTCTTTGATTGTTAGTTAATGTTCAGCTGAAGCAGCTAATGCATAATCTGCGTTTGCGGGTTAGATACCTTTTTTTCCTGCAGTAGCTTTTATTGTACATATTATTGTTCATATTGATAATTTTGAAATAAAGCTAATGTAAAATTAAATATGTTAAATGTTTTATTATAGATCTTTGTGTGTCATTGTATGAGAATTGATGGAAGAGCGGTTGCTCAAAAAATCTTTGCAGGTACTACCTGCCAGATAGCTTGCTCTGCAGGTATAGCGATTCTCTGGACTAATATGGCGGACACATTCCTTTTACGAATCGTGTTCAGCTGTAAGATTGATTGTATACTGTTTAACGTCCCTCTCCAGAATATTTCACTGATATGGAGACGTCACCATTGCCGGTGAAGGGCTGCAAATTTGGGCCTATGCTCGGCACTCAGGGCCATTGAGCAGGGAGGGATCTTTATCGTGCCACACCTGCTGTGACACGGGGTCTCGGTTTATACGGTCTCATCCGAAGGACCGCTCCATTTAGTCGCCTTTTACGACAAGCAAGGGGGGTACTGAGGACCTATTCTAACCCGGATCCCCACGGGATTGTTCAGCTGTAAGAAGATACGGGAAAATACATGCGTTCTTGACGTCACATTAAGCATTTAGGAAGAAAAAAGGGAAAACGATTTGTATGATATTATGGAATTTCAGACGTCGCGCATAGTATTGGGGTTTGAAATTACGTAACTTGTAACACTGTTAACGACGGGCGTTAGTATTTTTGGTCAATTTATCGTTTTGGCTACATAGATTTTTTCGCCAATGTGTAAGATGCTTCTATATTGTCCTGTGATGATGTCACAACATTTATGAATAAATTTCTTATTAAATGGCCGATTCCGACTGTTTGTAAAATTGGAATCGTTCCGTAATATGCCGTGATCTTGACAAGTAACACGAAAGGATAGAATGTTTGGTAAAGATTTTTTTTACTATATTGTTTGCTATATAAAACGTTCTTTTAATAAAACTAAGTTGATAAATGAAATGTGCAAATCAAGAAGTCAAATTATTCTTAACTAAAGTATAAGCAAGTAGTAGGAGAGATTAATAGAGCGATTTTGATGTCTAGTCGGTTTTATTACTACGACACAAATATGCGTATAATGGTTTTTAACCGGGCGTATAGCACCAATATGAGCTATATTCTCTATTTACTGGGAAAACTAGTAACAGATAAAATCTAACTTTTGAAATGTGCAAATGAGTAAAATTTTGTATTTAAAGAAACACTAAAAGGTAAGACATTTTTTAAGAACACAGGAGCAAAAATTGGATGTCTGGTTTAATTTGTTACGCCTTCAATTTTGACGTTAAACGACGTATTCAATAACGTCAAAAAAGTATATTTTGACGTTACACAATCAGCCCCAATTCTGTGCGCGACGTCTCAGTGATTCAAAAATTGTGATTTTAATTCCATACACCACTTCCACATATAACAAAAAAACAGGACCAGATTTATATTGAAACTGTACCGATGCGACCAGGAAAATTCTTCGAAATATCTGAGGACTTGAAATTTCAAAGGGTTAGATCAAGTAGTTGGGATTTTCAATTCACTTCTCTTAAAGAGCTCGGTTCACTTTATGCATAAAATGGCCCTGTAGATATACCAATTGACAGACTAAGACTTGATTTTCCATATGAAGCATTAAAATAAAATAGAGCTGTGCTTTCATTTCCTATTAAAATTTTTCTCCTAAAAGACCAGGTCTTTTATAGAATTGTAAAGTTCTTGAATTTAACGGTAAACAGGTCTAATTGAGTACTTTCAGTGAGGAAAAGTAATATCAGCGCACTCTCTGATCTAAAAATTAAAACATGTCTTTAACATGTTTAATCCCGAAAAAATTGTTCCATCATTTAGTAGTTGCAAATTTAGATCAGAGGTTGCGCTCTACTAGTATTTTAAATATCGAAAAATTGCGTTAAAAATTGGCTGGTTTTTTTTTAAAAAAGACTTTTTCAGAATATGAGGATATTGACGCATTTTGTGACGTCATAATGCATTGACTAGCCAGAAAATCACGTCGTTTTTTATACATACGCAGTAAAGATCCAAGTGCTATTTAATGCATTGTTAACTAAAACTTAGCAGTTTCAGTTTTTTTTTTCAGAAATTCACAGGGCCAAATAAGGCAAAAGTGAACCTTGTTCTGTTTAAAAAGTCAGAAATCTACACCATGCAGTTAAGTGCTAGGGACAAACAATATTAATTCATGCCCTGTTCACAGGACGAATTTAATTCGCAGTAAATAAATGCGAAGTAAACTAATGCGAATTAAAATTTTACTTCTACAGCTACGAATTACGTAAATTGTTCTTAACAGGAATAATTCACAATGGACTATGTGATGTGATCACAGGCGCTTGTTTCATACAGTAAGCTTAGATTTCTACTATGTGTTATTATATAGTAGAAATCTACGCTTACTGTATGAAACAAGCGCCTGTGGATGTGATGATTAAATTTTTTTGTGTGCTCTTACCATATAAAAACAACAGTTTTCTGTGTGATTCAACAAAAACCAATACCTCAAAATCTCATGGGGTGTTTCTGGGTCTGTATTAAACTTACTCTCAAGTGAGTGTATGAGGGGGTCTGTCCTAACGTTTTATTTCCAGATAACATGTTTTTCAGTAAAATCCATAGCGAAAAACAACATCATTTATTGACGAGACTGTCTTGGTTTTATGAGTTGTATGAGAAGGGTTTAGCACTAATTCCTTCCTACAAAGTCCCTCCATTAGGTCTTGTATTTTTAATGTCCTTCATAATCGCAGAGTCCCCATCTGTTCAGATGAACATAATCTGATTTCTGAGGCTGAAATTGATGAAAAACTTTATTTTGAAATAATATTTTTAATGCATTATTCGTATCAAACATACAAAAATGTATGGAATCTCTTATGTTATAGAATAGATGGTTGGTTTGTTGACCCTCCCGACACAGATTTAAGTTTTAATGTTTCTGGGGATCTGTCAACAGGTGACAGGGAACTTCCAGGCTGCTCTATACTCATACCAACATTCTCTCAGAGAAAAACCATACAATATATACAAACATGCCGCTACAGAAGTGAGAATACACGAAATAAATGCTAGCTGTTTGTAGTAGTTCACTGGTAGGTTTTACAATTTAAATAATCTATATTACGTGTACATTCTATTTTCTGAAGAAGATATGAATTCAAAAACTGAAAAAGATTTGCTATTTATTAATAAGTTTTCAAAGGGGGGAAACTTTAACATTAGGGTAAATGCACTAGTTTTTTATTTACTAAAAGAAGTTGCATTCCTTAATCAAACAAATACATGATATATTTTTCAACATGTATCAGGGACAATATAACAAGAAATATCTACAACAAAATAAAAGCTGAGGCAATAATTATTTAATAGTTAAGTAAATACACACAAGATATAAACCATGTATTCTGTGAGTGTCATCAAAATTGAATTAATTAGACAGTAGATTTATATTAGCTAGTGATGTATAATTTTACCCATGCTACTAAATAAAAACTTGTAATGTTAGAATGAAGGATTTGAAGATTTGTGAAACGCTGATGCCCTCGTATGGCAGGCTATGGTGAGGGTAGAATTCTCTCAAATGCATGTCAATCGCCAAAGGTCAAGGTAAAAAGTATTGGTACCCAAAGGAGGGTCATGTTACAAGGAAGACACATGTGAAAGATGAAAACCCTAGTCATAACTGTTCAAATTTATAACGGGTTAAAGTTTTTCAAAAGTGCGTCAAAGTTTTAGGTCAAGGTCATTTTTTTTTACTTGCAGAAAAGTCTTGTCACAATGAATACATACATGTAAGTTGGGAATGAAAGCCCTAGATCCAACTGTTCAAAAGTTTTAGCCAAGGTTAAAGTATGGTATTTTTTTGTAAAAGTAGGTCAAACTCCATGCTCAAATTTGGTGGTACCCAAAGAAATTTTTATTACAAGGTATACACCTTGAAATATGAAATTTATAGCCCCACCCACTTATAATAGTAATTTGCTAGGTAATTTGCTAGGTTAAAGTTGACGTCACAACAGACAAACAGGACAAAAGCATTATATCCCCAGTATCTTTCGATCCCGGGGCATATAAATTACTACTTCCATATTTCTTATTTTTAAGTTCTCATTAAGCTACATTACCTGCATACGGGGTTTATATTTCTCAGTTGATTCAATACAAAAGAGCATGATCTTCATATATAAAATTTCCAAAACAAGAGGTAAATTATTGACAAGGTTGATGAAACATGAATATCAGCAGTCTCGTTTAAAACCCTCATATCATAAGTTTTATAGTCGATACAATGGCCTTGTCAGTATATACAATTTATCAATGAGTCAAATGATGACTGGCGTTTTTCAAACTAATTGTTAGGTCTTTATTTACACATTGAATATCGACGGATCTTCATGTTATTACTCGATCATGAAACGAAGCACACTGCGGGTATAACCAGTCGGCAGGGGGTGCTCACTCCTCCATGGCAACTGATCCTATCTCTGACGTTGTAGTGGTCCATGTTTGCTCTGCTCTTAATTTGTATGGAATTTAGAGCTTGAATACTGTTCTTTTTCTCCATATATTTCATTTTACACAATACATTTTGTATAATTTAAAATATCCTGAAGCAAAACTTTTGATGAAATAAGGAGATTATAAACAGTAGTAAACAAGCTCAGAAGTCAATATGAAAAAACGTCAGTCAGCATTTGACTGAATTATAGATTTCATCTGCTGACAAGTTATTTTATCGCAGATAGAACTTGTCAACTGATTACTTTAAATCTTTCTTTGTCTCATTCTTGTAAAAAATGAAACAGAAATGTCAGACTCTATGATATTAAGTTAAAAGAATCTACATATCACATGTACCAGTGCTATTAAATTATCTTCTCTAAAATAAGTGTCTTAGTCAATAACAATAAAATACGTGGTAAATCATAAGCTTTATTCGAAGGTCTCTAAGAAAATTCAATGAAATATTAAGTAGGGAGGGAACGTGATTAATGTGTTTATATACATTATTGACTCTACTAGGTAAAACAGCTTCTTACAAATTTCTTTTTGTAAACGGTATGGAATTTTTACCAATCTCTACTTCATTATACATGTGTAATCAGCTTGTTCCAACAATTAATATCTTCCAACAATTACAACAAGTTTCAAAGAAGATACTGTGTTAATTTGTTTATTAAGAATGTATGCATAATGCTTTGAAAAAAATACTCAAGACTACTATCAGATTAGATATCAGATTAGATATATGTATCATTTTAGTGGTATACATATATTCATATATAAATGATGATGATTTCTGGACTAGATTATAAATGTAAATTAAACCTTTATTGATTAAATATGTTGTACAAAATCTGTGTCAGAGTGGGCTTTCAGAATGGGGTAAACTTAGAACATCTGTATATGAAACTTGTATGTCTACATGTATGATGCTTCACACAATATTTTAAAGAAACGTTTTTAAGTACGGAAAAAGCAAGTACTTAACCGTAGTTGCACATAAACGGGGCTTTATTTTCGATTTTTCTCATAACACATAGGCTTAAAATTAAGCCAACCCAGTTTCTTTAAAGTACTATTGTACCTTATGAGAACTTTTATTTTATTGAAAAAAATTATCATCAAATAAAATTTATTATAATAATAGGTTTCAGATTTAATGGAACCACTAATTAGCGATACAACTACTATACAATTAATAATGAACTATCTTATATTGTTCACTGATGTTTCTTTTAAAGATATGTATGCCGTATTTTTGCACAGCTGAAACCAAACAAAAATTTCTGAAGTATGATAAGCTATCAAAAATGAAGCATTCTCTCAAATTCGACGAAATATTATTCGGTATTAACAAAGTACAGGTCAGGAAAAGAACATGATATTCTCATGCATATTTATAAAGGACTGACTTTTATGTTGGATCTGCGCATGGGCGCGGGAAAAGCATCACGAGAATCATCAGGTCTACGAAACTATTTTTTGTGACGTCTGTTCAGCGAGGAACCAACAAGACTGACAAATCGACCAATCAGCTCAATGAGTTGTATTTAATGCATTTATATATAGGTTACTACTCATGATCAGTACATAAATACTTCATGTGTTTTTCGAACAGGCTAGTTTTTTTTAATCGCTCTCAGAAAGACGTGGTACATTTCCCAAGCATTTACACGCTTAATGCATTATGTACATTATCATCTACAAATCCCATGCTAACATTTGCATACAAATGAACAATGCTAAAAATAAGAGTTGCCACACTCTATTGAACAGGTCCGTTTGTTTACAATTTCCCCGTTCTCTACTGACAGTGAAAAGACAATTTCACGTGACTATATATTCCTCGGTACAAAAAGCAACTAACTCTGAGGTGTGCTCACGTATTGACAGCATGCTAACAAGAAAAACTGCATTTGTTTGTTAATGTGAGCATGGGAATTCTCAATTAGTAACTATCCTTCCTATTTTTTAAAGAAAATGTAAGTGGCTTTCCAGCCGTCAATTGAACTCGCACCGTAAAATTCCCTAACCCACGTGTTTGTAGTGAAAACGTAGTAGACCATCATGCTTTTCGGCTCATTCACGAGATTGGGCCATTGTTTGCTCTGAGCATGCGAGACCACGTGTTCATGAATATTTCAATAAGAGGCAGTTTAATATCCGATTCGGAGAGAAAATAATTTTTACAAAATAATATTTCATAACTTTTAAAAGTGATGGAGTGGAATTGTCTTAATTGCAGAAATTACATAACTTATGTAACTTGATGAGACACCACATATTTTTATTTCTTTAGCAATAAAATTGCTAAAGCACTAATACGGCATATATATCTTTAACATTTACATAACTAAACAAAGATATACAAACAACTAACCCTGACAATTATTAGCTACTACCAGATAATCAAAGTTTATAAATATAAATTAATGTGATATACTTAGCATACAATATTAAAACATAAAATGACATATAATTATACACAGGAAAGAAAATGAGATTGATGACAAAAATACTATAAGTAGATCGGTGGTCAAATTTTAATAAAAATTATTGTATAAAAATATAAATCAGAATACAGACCCTTTTATCACAGACATTTTGATTATCACAGCAAGATACTGATATACAAAACTGTTACTCATGAAGTAAAAAAAAAATAAAATTTAATGGTAAATAACTATGGCAAGGCTACATCTCTGGAAGGATGAAACTCTGTTGTAACGGACATGACAGAAATATCATTTGGCACTAGAGTGTTTGCTAAGTATTGTGACATAGAACAAAGGATTGCATAGTGAAGTGCATACATAAAACCAGAGGATAATATGCTACTGTAGAAACAGATCATATCCTTCTTCTTTGTCTCAATTTTTGTCCTCAGTAGCTTTATTCTGGTCCTCACTTTCAGTTTTGTTTTTGTCCTCACTTTCAGTTTTCTTTGTGTCCTCACTTTCTGTTTTCTTTGTGTCCTCACTTTCAGTTTTCTGTTTGTCCTCACTTTCTGTTTTACTGTCTACATTGATATCCTCAGTAACTTCTCTCTGGTCCCCATTTCTGGTTTTACTCATGTCCTCATTTATTTTATCATTGTCTATATCATCCTCATTGATTTTATTCTGATTTCCACTTTCTGTTTTGTCCTCACTTTGATTTTTATTAACATCTACATCATGGTCCTCAGGGACACTATTCTTACTTTCACTTTCTGTTTTTTCCTTACTTTCATTTTTATTAACATCTACATCATGGTCCTCAGGGACACTATTCTTATTTTCACTTTTGGTTTTGTCCTCAACTCCAGATTTATTGTCCTCATTGATGATTTTCTGGTCCTCAGTCTTATTTGTATCCTCAGTCACTCCCTCATCCTGTCTACTCTCTGTAGCAGAATCCTTTATCTCCTCATCCTTTTTTGTATCAGTCACTTCATCCTCTTTTATTCCCCCACCCTCTATACTCCTCATGTCCTCATTAGTCCCCTCCCCCTTCCCCTGTTCCCCTCCTTCCCCCTTGGATTCTTCCCCTCCTTCCCCCTTTGATTCTTCCCCGCCATCTGCCTTGGATTCCTCCCCATCAACAGTATTCAGGTTTTGTTTCTGTAAGTTAGAGTTCTCCTTCTCCATCCTGTCCATGTAAAGCTCGACCTCCACAATACCGTAGTCCTCTTCATCCTGTAACCAGCTGTGAATGGAAAGATTTCAATGAGTCGTTATCAACAAACATATTGACTCTCTATCATTATACAGGAATATTTCATATACAGGTGTCTTTTTCTCCTATACCCACTGGGTATCTTTACCTGTTACATGTGAAGATATATTTGTGTTTGGCATCAACTCCCTCTTTTACAGACACTTTCTCCAGGAACCATGCCCCTTCCGAACCCTTCCCATCATGCCCTATTATAATGTTTTCCAGGCGTCCTAGATCAACAGCTTCAACAATGAATGTGTCGACCTAAAATAAAAGATCATTCAAATGTGTCAAATATATGTGCAATATGTATATCCCCAGAACTCTTGTAACTTGTCTAAAGAGTAAACAAAGAAATCTAACTTTTCCCGTCCTGAATTTCTTGTTTTGTTCTTTGTTGTTGATTAGGTAGCGCCTGCCCGTGTCCCCCAGAGTCCCAAATAGTGTGATGTGAACTGTGGCGTCTGTCCCAGAATTCTCCTCTGTTCCTGTCTCCACGGCAACCACATAATGGCGCACTGAAGAAGATAAAGCTGAATTATTCATGTTATCAAACAGCAGATTTATATGTACGTCAAGCCTGTTTGTATAAAATTTTGAGCTGGCTTGTGTTTTCTTTCAAATAATGTAATTCCATTTCATTTAAATATGCATCATCTTTCTTTATTGACTTTTGTAGGTAAAATAAATTAATGTGAACAAAATACATCTGGGCAGGATAAGGATTTGGTCAAATGAAACAAGGGACAAAATATTAGTGTGATTTACTGTAGAAGTACTTTTTCCATGTGGTATTATTTTATGCTAAGTAAGTGACACAAATTTTACACAGAAATTCGTCCAAGCATACTTAATAATAATGTAAGGCATAGAGTGACAGTATAGGATATCTGCATAATTTTCTACTTGGGGAATAAACAGATATTATGATTCCGTGGAATAATGACCCAACGGAAAAAAGTACGTACATAGTATTCAAAGAGTAACGGTGAACTCAGATAAGCTAGTGGATAATGTATTAGATTCTTTATTAGGTAATGTCCTGTAGAACATTATAACTATTGTGAATAACAACTGAAACTAAACCTTGATCTAAATTGTTGATATTTATATAAAATATCTTTTAATATGGAAAGAAATAATGATTTATTAATTGTTATGGTACATGAAGTTACAAAAAAGAATATCAACACCACTTTAAAATTCTACAACAATGAGTAGAAAGAAAAGGGAGAAAATATAAAGAATTCAATAACAAGAAGAAATTGGTTAACAGTTACTTAATTATTACATAAATAATTTATAATAATTGACTTTATTTGTTTCCTTACCAAAACCTGAAACAAACATTGAAAGAAAAAGAAATTCATCAAAGATGCTGATTGGCAGAGTTATTCAAAATATGGCAGGGCCAGTAAGACTCTTTGTGTTCATTGATCATTAGCCCTTATAGAAATCATCGACATTCTACGTACCTGGCCAGAAGTCGTGGGAGTCATTCTCAGCTGGCACCTCCACTGCGATGTCGCCGTATTCACCAGAGAAGGACAGAAGTTTACCGACATGGAACTCGTATCTCTCATCAGACTTTAGGTTGTGCAGAATAACCTAAAAAAAAAAAAACAAAACAAACATGAACAAACTCTTAATTAATAACATGAAAGTTCATTCTATCCAATTTATGTTCAATGAAAGTGAAAGATAAATATCTAATACACAATACCTTATCCAGACCCCATCCAGACTGTGTGTGCGGATTATCGTGCTCAATCCGGATTTTACGGATTCCTCCCAGTTCTTCTGTGTCAAAATTGACCTACAAAAAGTAGAAGTGTCAATCTCAGATGGGATACCCTTGTCAAAAAAATGGAGGACTTCAATCAAACAGTAAGCAAAAATTACCAAGTGTTAATTTTAGACTTACTAAGAATTCATCCGTCTGTCCTGGCTGGAAATACCCCTTGTTTGGTTCCCCTAAGCTGAGGGGACCAGAATTCCCTGCATCTCCATACACGGTCAAGGTCACTTGGTCATTGGTTCCGCAGTCTGGGGCTGCACTAGTTGTCACGTAAACCTTCACAGTGCCCTCTGGTGAGGAAGTACGGCATTATCAGTCAGAATAGGTGACGTAATAAAAATCATATTTAGTTATTTAGACCTTCAACAATCTATCTGTACAACATTCAGTACACTGTTAATTACTGTAGATTCCTAAATATACACTTCTAATTAATTAGGCCATCCTTAAAAATATGTTTGTTTGGAATTGCCGCCTGAAGGGTTTCAGACCCAGGAGGGAGGGAGGGAAATAATTTTTTTTTAATTGAAGATAAATTTTAAATTTTTGATAAAAATCTCAGTAAACAGTAAAAGCATTTTTTCTGACTTTTAAAAAAAGTATCTACCATCAACAACAAGAGGCCCATGGGCCTTATAGGTCACCTGAGCATTATGCAACAACTTTCCAGTGATTGAATTTGATTCATGTTTTAAGCCAGATGCTATGGCATTCACAATTTTGATAGAGGCATCATTGATCATCATAACTATACACTTAGCAGTTTCTTAGTTTGGTTACTTAATACCCATTGACAAGGCAGAGGAACAAAAAATACATTTCAACTAATTAGTAATATTCAGCAATAATCAGTAGTGCCCCTACTACACATGAACCCCTGACCCTTAGGCCTAGATCCACACATTGCACAATTTTTGAAAAGGCATCCTTGCTTTTCAAAAATATTTGATTATAATTTAATTAATACCTAGGAGCAGATTTCAAACAATTCATTCATTTTCAGTCTATAAGTATAGCCCCCCCCCCTCTCTATGGTACCTCTGACCCTGGGGCCTTGAAATTCACAATTCTGGAAGATAACGGTCCTTGTTCGTAACTATATAGGTAATTCAACTGCTTAAAACCCAGGAGCAGAGAAGAAAATTTTCAAAGATTTAATGTATTTCACTATAATCAATAGAGCCCCCCTAACACATGAACCCTGACCCAATGGCCCTAAAATTCACAATTGTGGTAGAGGCACTCTTGCTCATTATGACTATGCATTTAGTTTGTTTATTTAATACCTAGGAGCAGAGAAGAAGATATTCAAAGAATTCATGAATTTTCACTATATAATCAATAGAGCCCCCCCCCAACACAAGAACCTCTGACCCTGGGGCTTTAAAATTCACAATTTTAGTAGAGGCACTTTTGCTCATTATAACTATGCACTTAGTTTATTTAATACCTAGGAGCAAAGAAGAAGATTTTCAAAAATAATTCATATATTTTCACGATATAATCAATAGAGCCGCCCCCCCCCAACACCAGAACCCCTGACCTTGAGGTCCTAAAATTCAAAATTTTGGTAAAGGAACTCCTTCTAATCATTACCATGCACTTAGTTAATCTATTTAATAACCAGGAGCAGAGAAGAAGATTTTTATAGAATTCATGTATTTTCACTATATAATCAATAGAGCCCCCCCCCTCTAACACAAGAACCCCTGACCCTGGGGCTTTAAAATTCACAATTTTAGTAAAGGCACTCTTGCTCATTATAACTATGCACTTAGTTAGTTTATTTAATACCTAGGAGCAGAGAAGAAGACTTTCAAAGAATTCATGTATTTTCACTATATAATCAATAGAGCCCCCCCCCCACACCAGACCCCCTGACCCTGGGGCCATAAAATTCACAATTTTGGTAGAGGCACTCTTGCTTATCATAACTATGTAAGTAGTTTGTTTATTTAATAACCAGGAGCAGAGAAGAAGATTTTCAAAGAAATAATGCATTTTCACTACATACTTCTTTAGCCCCACCCTAGCACTAGAACCCCTGACCCCAGGGCCATGAATTTCACAATTTTGGTAGAAGACTCATTGCTGATTACAATCATGCAAACAGTTTGACTGCTTGATGTCCAGGAGTAAAGGAGAAGATTTTTAAAGATTGCATAATTTTAGTGATTTTGGCCCCACCCCTCAGGCCCCAGGGGGGCAGGGATCATGAAATTCACAATTTTTGTTCCCCTTTACCCATAGATGCTTTGTGCCAAATTTGGTTGAAATAGGTTCAGTGGTTGCAGAGAAGAAGCTGAAAATGTTCAAATGTTAACGCACGACGAAAGACGAACGACGACGGACGAAAACAGATAGCAATAGGTCACCTGAGTTTACTCAGGTGACCTAAAAAACCTCATTTTACATAGATCTGAGACAATATTTCAGTGTTCTGTATGGTGCATGTGATACATGTAATGGGCAAAAAAAAATGGATTAAATAAAAAAAAAATCTTCTTACTTTTGGTCAGTAAAATTTTTTCAGGAGGGGGGTATTTTAGTGAGGCGGGAGGCAATTCCAAACAAACTATAATTTTATTTTGGCCTTATTGCAAAATTTTGCGAGACGCAACAATCGTGAAATGAAATCTAGCCTGCTCGCTTTTATTTTTATGGTGCACTCTGTGTAAAAGCTCTTGATCAAACCTCCGTTCATGAATAATTACTCTCGAGCCTTGACACTGAAGAGCCCATTTGCAATAAAAAGTACTCGCGAAAAAAAGGAATCTACGGTATCAGGTAATTAGTGACTTCTACAGTACCAGGTAATTAGTGACTAGGTGATAAATCTACCTTGTGGTTCAGGTGTGGCTGGTTTGTTCTCTTCTACTGCTTTCTCCAGTTCAGCTGTCTGTTGATCTGTCTGTTCAGCTGTAACCTCCATCTCGTCTGGTTTATCGTCCCGTGTCTCTGGTTTACTTTCCAAGTCCTCTGGTTTAACTGTGTCTATCTTCTCAGGAATCTCTGATGTCGGTTCCTCGTCCTCTGGTGTGTCAGACTTGTTCACTTTTTCCTCTTCATTTGAGGGTGGCTCTGGTTTTTCTTCACTTGGTTTTGGAGACACCGGCTTATCATCCCCAACTCCTGGTGAGGCCGTCTTCTCTTGTTCTGGTGAAGCAGGTTTTGGAGAATCTACTTTATCAGACACATCTTCAGAAGCTACTACCAGGGTTGGGGAGGGAGATTCCAGTGGAGGTGGAGAAGGACTCTTTGTCTTCTGTTTTGGTGGTGGGGAGGGACTCTTTGTCTTCTGTTTTGGTGGTGGGGAGGGAGTTTTGGCTTTCTCCTGTGGTGTGGGCTCGGGACTTTTGGACTTCTCCCTGGGGACTGGTGTGGGAGTTTTTGTTTTCTGCCTTGGAGTAGGGGTGGGGGTCTTGGTCTTCTCTCTGGGTGCTGGTGTCACCGATTTCTGCCTCGCTACAGGGGAGGGACTTTTTACTTGTGGTGTGGGGGGCATGTCATCTTCAAACACCACTTCCTCAGACAACAGCAGTGTCCTCTCTATCTTAGCATCTTCTTCTCCCTCATCCAACCAACTGTACAGATAAACAGTATTTACATGTAATGAAGATAAAGGTATAACCTAAATAAACTCATTGAATTAACTGTACAAATACACAACAATTTCAAGCTATAAATTAAAGATAAATATAGGTAAAACCTAATGGACTTATACAAGCACAAAACAGATTACATCCTCAAGACTGAAAGGACATTATACATATATCACATGGCTTCGAGGGTGACATACCAGAATATTTGCCCCGAGGTGACAGGAAAGCCCTGGAGTGTTATGTCACCCGATGCCGAAGGCAGAGGGTGACATAACACTCCAGGGCTTTCCTGTCACCGAGGGGCAAATATTCTGGTATAGTCGCCTGAGAAGCCATGTGGTATATGTTATATGACATTTTTAAAATTAAAGGAAAATTTAGATTTATTCAAAATCATTAAAATGTACACAAATAATCCAAAAATGCTTTCTTAACGTTAAGAAATACGCTGTGTTGTTTACTTTTGCTTAGCAACCGACGTCATAAAATCTCGAACCCGAACTAAAATGCGTAACGTAAAAACACGTGAATGTGATCGAAATAGTGACATAACTGTTTCCGGCCGGACATAACTGTTTCCGGTGTGACTCGGCATTTTTCAGGGTTTATAGTGAAACTTATTACATTTGTGATATAATAGGAAAACTTATTCAAAAATGTTATATATCTTTTTGTTGGTACCAATGTTCATGAATTTTATTGAACAAACATCCTCAAGAAAGATATATTTTTCAGTGTCTTGCTTTATTGAATCCTTTGTATAAATTTTTATTATATAATATCACCATCAAGTTAGATCCCCATAAATCAGTGAATTAAACATTAGTAAAAATTGCCAATGACAATGACCCCCACAAATTTCAATGGTTTCAGAGTAATCAAAGCTAAAACCTTATTGAGCTTCAAATTGTCTTGACTTACTGATTACAAGGGAAGACAAATTTATCCACAGAATCAATGGAATCCATCACAACCACCTTCTTCAGATACCAGCCTGATCCTGTATAAACACAACAATTTTTTTTTTAATCAGAGAAAGTCCTCATGTATGTTTTTTCAATAAATGGAAAGTTTGAATCAAAGGAAGAATCTGTTGAGTCTAACAAACCTTCTCCCAGACTATCGTGTCCAATGACGACCTTCTGTAAGGTTCCCAGGTCTACAGCTTCTATTTCAAACTGGTCCACCTATAGGGTACACAGAATGGAAACAAATAATTCTATATATAAAACATTCAAAACTTATACTGTACTACGAAATCAATCTTTGATTACCATTAACAGCAATGTACACACATCATTCTCAATCAGAAACTCTTGCTGGGGGGGATGCCTGAACAGAAACACTCTAGATCGTACTGACCTGGTCCTGTGTGAAGCGGTCCTTATTTGTCAGGGAATGTTTCAGAAGTCGTTTTAGATTGTACTGACCTGGTCCTGTGTGAAGCGGTCCTTGTTTGTCAGGGAATGTTTCAGAAGTCGTTTTAGATTGTACTGACCTGGTCCTGTGTGAAGCGGTCCTTATTTGTCAGGGAATGTTTCAGAAGTCGTTTTAGATTGTACTGACCTGGTCCTGTGTGAAGCGGTCCTTATTTGTCAGGGAATGTTTCAGAAGTCGTTTTAGATTGTACTGACCTGGTCCTGTGTGAAGCGGTCCTTATTTGTAGGGAATGTTTCAGAAGTCGTTTTAGATTGTTCTGACCTGGTCCTGTGTGAAGCGGTCCTTGTTTGTCAGGGAATGTTTCAGAAGTCGTTTTAGATTGTACTGACCTGGTCCTGTGTGAAGCGGTCCTTATTTGTCAGGGAATGTTTCAGAAGTCGTTTTAGATTGTACTGACCTGGTCCTGTGTGAAGCGGTCCTTGTTTGTCAGGGAATATTTCAGAAGTCGTTTTAGATTGTACTGACCTGGTCCTGTGTGAAGCGGTCCTTATTTGTCAGGGAATGTTTCAGAAGTCGTTTTAGATTGTACTGACCTGGTCCTGTGTGAAGCGGTCCTTATTTGTCAGGGAATGTTTCAGAAGTCGTTTTAGATTGTACTGACCTGGTCCTGTGTGAAGCGGTCCTTATTTGTCAGGGAATGTTTCAGAAGTCGTTTTAGATTGTACTGACCTGGTCCTGTGTGAAGCGGTCCTTGTTTGTCAGGGAATGTTTCAGAAGTCGTTTTAGATTGTACTGACCTGGTCCTGTGTGAAGCGGTCCTTGTTTGTCAGGGAATGTTTCAGAAGTCGTTTTCCGGAGCTGCCTAGGCTGCCGTACAGACAGACAAACACATTAGAGTCAGTACCCGCTTTGTGTACGTCTCCAAGGTAGGTGATCACCTGGTACTTCAACACTGTTATACAAAATAACATTTCTCATTTATCATTCATCAAATTCTGGTTTCATCATGTAAATTTAAGTTTAAAGACTAGTATTCAAATCTAACATCTTATTTAAAGCTGAGAAGCTATAGAATTAAATCCTTTCTTACAATTCATATTTGGAGAAAAGGGAGGGTCATGTAATATCTTACCTTTAGGAATGGGGAGGGCTGGCCAATGGACAGGAATTTCCCTCCAGCCGTCAGACTTCTCATCCACGATGACCCAGTCATTGAGGTCATAGGTAAACATGTCTCCTGTGTCAGAGTCCTCACAAGTTATCTGTAAAAGTGTCAATAGATACAACATCATGTAATACAGACACAGCTTTAACCACAAAACACAAGTTATCTGTCAAGGTATCAATAGATACAACATCATGTAAATGCATCATCACAGCTTTACACATCCACAGTTGTATAATTCAGTGCTTACCCTTCTAAGTAACCAGCCTTTCTTTTTTGTGTTGTCAAGGTAAC